GCATTTATATAAAAGAAAAATGGATGTTACTGGACGTTACTTCAGCCCGAGTGGTATCAGTCCCTTTAAGGATCAGTCGTGATGTTACTTTAAGGAACACTACATCCCCTTGTGTGGACTCTCAGGAAGTCCCAATTTTTGGTGGAAAAATTACAATAGATTAGCTGTGACACTGTAAGCATGATGGATATTGCATTAGGCAGCCTTCACCCTTATTGGCCCTGAGGATATAGGTGTTCACTCTGTCCCTTATATCCCTCTGCTTTGGACAAGACTGCTGGTTCAGTCCTTTTAGCTGTGCTAATCTTCCCATGCTGGGCAGGGTGCCTCCTGAGCAGGACTTGTAGTGGAGTTCCTCTCTCTAGCTTCTTCTTCCTTCCTTCCTTCCTTCCTCCTCACCTCCACCCTGTAGCCAGATCCCCCCTTCCCCAGGGTCCCCTCCCAGGCCTCACAGTCCTCAGTACTCTATCTTTCACCCAATCACCAGAATTCCCTGATGGCTATGCTCTTTTAGATTTATAGGCCCATCTCACCACACTGCCAGGCCTCATGCCTAGGATTGGTCAACATAAACATGCAGACTCTTGGTCTTTGCCTACTAGCTTCTAGAATCTTCTGGAAGACTCCAGAACCACGGGGAGGTACCACAAGCCTGACCTGTAGAGCCCTCCTAGAATCTTCTGGAAGACTCCAGAACCACGGGGAGGTACCACAAGCCTGACCTGTAAAGCCCTCCAAACTGACCTAAAGTGAACCTAAAACAATTCCCCAGACCCACCATACTACTGTGAGCAATTAAATTTTCCTCACTCTGATTGCACACTAGAGGGTGCTACACCTTAAAAAATCATGTGCCTGTGATATGAGGACAATCCACAGTGTACAGACCTCAAATTAGTATTTAGGCAACACTTTAAAAGCCTTTACAGCTCAATTTAAAGTTGACTGAGCATTATGGCTCTACTATTGTTGCTATTATCCTGGACAGTGATTCCTAGTATGTTTTTGTATGTAGGCACACCCAAGACGTGCCTGTGAGGCAGGATCCTTAAAAATGGAGTGTTTTTTTACCTCTAAATTCACCTATGAACTCCAATAAAGCTAATCAAGGACTGACTGTTTGTGTTGTTAGAATGTTTTTCCCACTAAATGAAAAAAAAAATGTTTGCATTGCAACATGTTTTCTCATGCAAGTGTCCAGCTACCAATGCCCTTTTTTAATGAGGACAAAAAAAAACACAGCAATATTTGGTTCCTGAAGACTTCAGTGAGTTTTGGCAATATGTTTGGTATTTGCTTAATTCACAATGCATTCAGCAAATGTGCACCAAATCAAATTCACCCATTTGGCTCATCACTAATGACAAATACAGAACGCATTTACACCTGCAGTTCTAGGCAATGTTTGTAAAATATTTCTATGATATGTTGCTGCTTGAATCTGTGCTAATGTACATCGTTTGTGTTACATGCTGCTACAGAGTCTTTAATACACTACTGAAAATAATGTCAGAACTTTAAGGGCACTGTTACATGGGTGTGCATATCCAAGATCTTTGTGCCTCCCACACTCCAACTTGACAGCCATCAAGATGCAGTTGTATATATTTTTGGTCTGCAATACACAAACCTGCACTTACACTTGATTTGCCCTGCAGTAACTTTCTTTCACCACAGTAACAAACATCTGTAAGCAGCTGATAATTTGTCAGCCCCGTCACCCAGTCAGGTACCAAGATCTGCCAGGTGCTTACCTGAGTCTTTTGAGTTTCCTACCCATCAAAGAAACCCTTTATCATTCTGGGAGGTTTTGCAGGAGCACAATCACTTCTGCCTTTTATATATCTTGCAATCTTGTGCTTACCTTTAAGATAACCTTACAAGGAAGCTCCCCTACCTCCCACCCTAATCGTTACTTCTCCTCAGTATTTATACTGTGTTAAACATTACAGACCTGGTTTGATAATAATTACCTCTTTATTTTGGCCAGTGACCTGTATCTAAGCATACTATTCTGGTTATTATAAATGCTTTCAGTTTGGATAAGGATTTGGGATAATCTTTTTATTGGGATTAGACTCGGGTTTGGGTAAACGTGAGTTGTGCAGAGGGGGAACCTCTTCAGACAGTTGGTCATGAGTCTACATCTTCCTCAGGACCTCAACATAGGCACAAGGTGCCTTGCAAGGCCTTCCCCTTGCAATTTTGAAAAGTATGTGGTTTGGTATGTGGAGGAAGGGGGTGCACAAATTACTATTTAAATGTATATAAATAAAATTCTCAAATATATTCTAATAAATTCCTTCCTTCGTCAACTGTGTACATCATTAAACAATAAACCCATAGTGCTTTTATGAGAACATCAATATTTATTGAAAATCTAAAATTCAAAACTCACAACCAAGAAGTGATCAGGTATACAGAGGAGCAGTTGTGCTGGCCACTATTATCTGCATGTCTAATTAATACTTTTCAAACAAGCAATAATCCTGTGTGCACGGAATATAGTTCACAGTATAACCTGGGTGCTTAATTTAAAATTTGTATACATTTTTATGTTCTTATGGAAAGCACTATTGGGGAGATTTACTAAAACTGGTGCACACATAATCTGGTGCAGCTGTGCATAGTAATCAATCAACTTCTAGGTTTTATTATTAAAGCTTAATTGAACAAGCTGAAGCTAGAAGCTCATTGGTTACCATGCACAGCTTCACCAGATTCTGTGTGCACTAGTTTTGGTAAATGCTCCCATATGAGTCTATTTTTCATTGCATAACACCTGGAAACAGGGGGAAATGCTAAAGCAAAGTTATGGAGAGCACTATTGAAGGCCCCAGAAGGGGAAAGGATCATTGTGACCTCTATAACTAATAGATCATACCTTAAAGGTGAGAGTGCATCTAGGGTGAAGAGCGCACACATAGTGAAGGAAAGAGGTTTTGTAGCGGACACAGTGAATTTTGAACATTTGGTTATAAATTAAATGGGCTGTTTATAAGGACACTAATTTTTATGCACAGTGAATCAAATTTATGTTTATTTTGTAAAGTAAACATATATAGATGGAACATGTGGGTGGATAAGCCTAGAAACTAATAGTCAATGAGCAGGAGTAGCATGAAAAAGTCCCAACAATTCCTTGAGAATGGAGCACATGCTGATGGCAGCTCCTCAGAGACTGAAGCGATCTCTGCAGTAACACAAGAACAAAAGAGGTCACCGAGCTGGGTATAGTATAAAAATACAGATTTGTTAAAAGCATACAAGTGGCAACTCACATTTGAGCAGAATACATGCTCATATCACTCATATGGCCGCCGTGGTACCTCTCGATCCAGGAGTATGGCCAATGTGGGTGTAGCATAAACACCCAGCTCAGCGTCCTCTTTTGTTCTTATGTTTTATCTCGTACAAGGATTGTATTGGGATATACTATATTAGAGAGTATTATCTACACACATTTAATAGGTCATTTGTTATGTATGACATTGTATGTACAGCTTAAGATTATCAATTAAAATTTTAACATTCTTTATTTTTAAGTTTTATGAAAAAACAAATAGGGGTGCACCAGCACTAAGCACAGTAATACAAAAGTAGGGAAATCCAGGTATGATACATCACAATCAGGGTGCAAAGAAGAAATTGCATGGTTAAGGGTATATCTCACTTCACTGCTTTGAGACCTGCACCATATTCCATGGAACATGTAAAGAGAGACCAATACAACCATTTGCATCTGAATTGCTATTCTTTGCCTTTCAATGTGACTTATGCAAATACATTTTGAGTATTAGAATAAGTGGTTACATAACAGCAAAGCAACTTGCATTTTTAGAGAGGTATGCATGTTTCCTAGCACCATTTTCTTACCTCAATGCAATACAATGCCCATATAGAATTTTGGCTGTTTGTAAATCAACCAGCCAGGGATCCAGGATGATGCCATTGAATAAATATAGTCATGACCACATTTGGTCAACTACATCACCCAGGATCCCCAGCTAGTTTGTTTACAAACACCAGCAGGTAGGGGATCTGTCATTTAGCAGCAGTAGCAGTAACCCCATTGATTAGTGTTTGTAAACAAACCAGCTGAGGATCCTGGGTAACATTATTAACCAAATATGGTCATGAACATATTGTATTTGGCCAATGACTTCACTCAGGATCCCCAGCTGTGGGTCTTTATGGTGCTGAGTTATTGTGATTCATAACCTGGCAACTTGAATTTTTAGAAGGAGGGGTAAGAAGTGGCATTTATGCTGTATAACGTCATACAAAAGAGTGATACATTTTGCCTTTTAAAGGGGATTATAACCAGTGTATAATTACTTTACTAGTTAAACTTTTTCTTCTCTAACTCTTCTTTCGCCATGAAATTTTAAGAAGCAGAATTACAAATCAAGATAATTTCTTAAAACATCTAATCCACTTGTGCTTTCTCAGAGTGCAGTAGAAAAAGTGAAGCATGAGATATGGTTGTTGCAACTGCACTTTTATTTGCTCCAGATATCATAAATCAACCCTCTTTCGCACCAGATTCAGTCTAGTCCATTTTTATTCTGCATCAAAAATGCATGCATTCCAATGGCCCTAGTTCACACCAGTGCAATGTGTTCCAGTGCAGTTAACAAAAGTAGAACATGCTTCATTTTTTCCATATGGACGCAACTGGAATATGGCAAAATGGATTCGAAAACACACAGGAATGCATGTAAATGCACCAGATATGCACTGGAATGCCTGAATTGAGATGAAGGAAAAAAAGGGGGGGAATGAACCGGAACTCATCAAAACGCATCAAAAATATACTGTAATGCATCAGAAATGTGCGTAAACACGCATGCAGAAATGCAGCTGGAACAAAGAAATTGCGATGTGAACTATGCCTCACTGAGATGCTAAAAACATGACATATTGTGGTTGCAACACAGACTTGAACATATTCCTGTGGAGAATAATACCTGCACAGGAGACTCTAAAATTCCAAACCCCAAATTCTCAGAAATTACAAATGCATTTGTTATCCAAGTAGTGATGGTATCAGGTAGGACAGTACTTATCTCCAGTTCTGTATCACTTCTGAAAAAGAAAAAAAAAACAATACTGTATTGTATGTCTTATCATTGAAAAAAAAGCATGATCACTTTATCTCCTGAATGCAGAGACTCAGACAAAGCTACATGTCCTATTCATTTCATGGTATTTGTATTATATTACTACTGTATACTATGTTACAGAATGATTTCTGAAAGTTCAGCTGTATATTTTTCCCAGCAACATTTTCAGGCACACTTATTTGGTGAATAATGTGCAGTTATTTTCACTTAAAACATTCAAATATGCGTAAGGCAATATGCATTTTTTTTTGCTGCACACTTGGGTATTGCACTGTAAGCGAAAATACAAATACATTAAATTTAATGAGAGATCATTCTATACTGCTTTAGTAAATTAGTGCCAATTTGTGGTTATCAAAATTTAATTATGCAGACATAAACTAGGCATTTGTGGTCTTTGCGTACTTCTTTAAAAGTGATCATGTTTTTTCTGACATGTACTGTATATTCTATGAAATGCATTAGTACTATGTATTTTTAATAAATGATGCATTAAAGTTGAATTCCAGACATATATAATGACACAATGTAAATAGTATACTCAAGGTTACTATGAGACCTTCACTGGGTCGCCTTACCACATCCAGACCTCCATTCGCCAATGTAATTTGTGAACATAGAAGACAGTAAGGGAAGTCTTCCGCTACTCAATTCCTCTGTCACGCTCTTCAATATATTTAATCTGTCAGAGCCAAAAGAGAAACAAGAGGATTTCTTCTGTTGGCTACTGTGTTTACAAATGACAGCAGCGATCAGATGAACTGACAAACCATGTGCTGGTACAATGCCGATGAAGGTCTGAATGGCATTAGGCAACTGGCAGAACAGTAGGTCTTCTGACAACACCTCTCACCCCTGGTGTCCCAACTGACCCCCCCTGACTCACTTATGGAGGTCAGGATAGGGTACGTCTCACTGTACATTCCCTTTGCCACAATGCTTTATTTCATATGCTATGCTGTACATTCCCTGTTCTACAAAGCCTTACACCATTTGCCATGCTGTATGTTACCTATACTACAACATATTCCGAATAGGATGCTGTACATTCCTCATTTTGCACCCCATCATTTCAAATTCCATGCTCTATATTCCCTATACCACCAAGTAATATCCCATACTCCATGCTGTGCATTCCCTTTTTCTCACTGTCCCATTCCATATGTAATTCTATGCATTAATTATGCTTTAATGCCTTTTTCCGTATGCCACACTGTACATTCCCTAATCCACAATGCCTAACTTGCTGTACATTCCTTATTCTTCACCACTTCATTCTATATGTCATGCTCTAAGTTCCACATTCCTCAATGCCTCATTCCATATACCATGCTGTATTTTCTCTATTTCAGCTGCCTCATCCCATATGCAATGCTCTATGTTCCCTACTCTGCAATGTAATTTCATATACCAAGCTGAACATTCTTTATTCCACAGCACTCTATTCCATATGCCATGTTGTACATTCTATATTCTATACCATCTGACTCCATATGCCATGTTGTATATGTAACACTACCCCCTTAGGGGCTGCTGAGTTTTGGATTGGACCCCCCTAAGCTCTGCACAGCCAGGCAACACGCATTTTCACACTTGGATGGGGTATATGGGATGCCCAAGGACTTGAAGAACATGAGGACAACGTCCTGGCATCTATGTATAAAAATGTGGATAGCAACAGTCTCTTCTGAAAGAGAACTAAAGGGCTCCTTAGTGTACCTCCTCAGACCCCGGATGAATGCTCCTCTTCACCCAGTTGCCAGTCGGTCCTTGAACAGTCCCAGATGAGAAGCTAGTTGAATATTACACTTGACCACCCTTTCCTCTTATCTGGCCCAGGGGATGTAAGAGTACTCACACTGTTCTCTCCTGTTAGTGTAGTGGGTTGTTGGCTGCCTTCAGGCCTTACACTGGGCTGGCTTCTTCCGTGCTGCACAGGCTGTCCTCCCCAGGAGACACTGAGGCAGTGGAGAGCCTCCTCTCCAGCATTCTGCCTGTAGGTAGGCTCCCCTCCTGGAGTCCCCTCCAAGTCTCCATATCCCAGCCTTCCTCAATCCATTTTCCACCCGACACTGCACACTGCTCCCAGGCTCTCTAATATTTAAGGGTTGCTCTGGTAACCATGTCCAGCCTCCTGCCAAGGGATTGGCCAAGGTCCCTTAAACATGCAGATCTGAGCCTCCTCCCCTGCTCCACCCCTGTTCCAGAAAGTTCTCCAGTTTCTGGAAAGGTGGGAGGGCTCCAGAAACTCTGACCTGTTAGAGCCTCTGAGTCTGTCCTGAAGTGACCTCACTACCTACTCACCGGCTGACTCATCCCAGGCTGCTACTCATCCTCTAACTAATGTACATTTTATATTTTGCACTGCCTCATCTTGTATGTTGTGCTGTAAATTCCCTTTTCATCACTGTTTCAGTCTGTGTGGCATGCTATGCATTCCCTGTTTTACAATGTCTCATTCTGTATGCTGTGCTGTACATGTACATAGCCAGATTGTTTTCAATGCTTCGTATCCTGTCCATTGACCATTAGGGTCTTGTACAAAAGTTTGTTGTTTTGTTTTGTTTAGAGGCCCAGTAAATACTTTTGCTTTGATGTCCTGTGATTTCTAGTTGCTCCCCTGGTAGTTTAAGTACATAACAGCAGAGCTCATACTAGGATAGGAAGAAGCAGCACACAGCCAGTCAGTTGTGTTGTAGTACCCATGTGCTCACAAGAAACATGCTAATATGTGTAGAGAACAGAGTACCAGATGTGAGATGAACTCAGTCTACAGTGCAAACTAATGAAAGAAAAAAATATCTAAAAGCTGTATATAACTGTTAGTACTGCTGCTCATACTTTTTATGTTCAGACAAAAAAAAACAAAAAATAAGTATACGTGATTTAGCGCAACGCAGTGCCAAATCTTCCTAGTGGTAAATGCTCATGTACCTTCTTATAACATTCAGTTTAGTCATTGTTCTAGATATATTTTGATGACATGAATGCATACATTCTATGCATGTTCTATGTTTGGACATAAATGCATAGGATATACGCATGTCCACCTAATTGTCTTTATTATACGATTTTATGTGATATTCCACGGCACATGAGCATTTACCACTAGGAAGATTTGGCACTATGTGGAGCTCAGTTCACTACTTCTCCTTTCTCTGTATTTATCTGTTTGCCTGAAGCTCAGCTTCAATAACAATACATTCTACAATGTAGGAAATGTCCATTTTCAGCATATGAAGATTTTTTATACACTTTCTTCTTTATGTGCTGATAAAATACATGAAAATCTAAAGACTATTGAAAACTCCCTCTTTTATACCATAGCATAAGTGATGTATGTAACCAATGTTTTGCAATATGCATAAAAATGGGTGAAAGTCAAAAATTATTTTGAATATGTACACATGAGAATATTTGAGCAGGTTGTATGTTTAAACCATATCAGTTTAAGAATATGTAATATAGCAAGATCATTGTCACATTATATTACCCCATATTAATATTCTTCCAGATCCATGCCTCAGGAAAATAAGATCTTACACGTGGTCCACCAAAATCAGCAGAATGCCATGTTGGCAGGAAGTCCTCTGTTGTGTCATAATATACTTTAAGCACTGTAACAAAAAATGAATGCCTTTTACAGTTAATGCTAACCAATTTAGAATGATAGTGTTAAAGTGGTACTAAACTCTGATTTCTATTGTTACCTCCAGGTAAGTCTATAATAAAGCTTACCTGTAGGTAAAATTAATATCTCCTAAACTGTTTAGGGGATATTCTACAGAGTAGCAGCTGGTGACATAACTGGCGCATGTGCTCTGAAGTAACAGCATACTCCCAGCTCAGCCATTCAAGTAGCTGCAGCCTAGGAACCCAGAAAGAACATATGAAGATGGAAGCCCGTCAGCGGTGATAGAGCGCCACCGGAGGGCTTTGTTTTAAGGTAAGTTTCACTTAATATGCTAGTATGTGATGCATACTAGCACATTATGATATCATCTTGCAGGGGGAAACTTTTTTTTTTTTTTTTAACAAGTTTATTAATGCTGTAAGGGAAATGTTATTGTGTTTATTATACTTGAAGATGTATTGCAGAGATTTTCCATGTACCGTATATAAGACGCTAATAAAACCATCCAAACTGACCACAACTCTTCTATTACAATTGCTCATGCTTGCAATTTTAGAAATCAAATGATACCAAGATCAGGGGCGGACTGACAACTCATGGGACCCCGGGCAATAAGGGACCATGGGGCCCCTGTGTCCTTGCCCAAGCTCAAAAAAGCCTATGAAAAAGGTACCAGGGGCATATCATGGGGCTCTCTACTGACCCTGGGCGCTCGGGCAGTGCCCGAGTTTCCAAGTGGTCAGTCCGCCCCTGACCAAGATATACAAGTTATTTTATCTGCATTTATTGTATCCCTTGTGAGACATTCAAAAGCATACATATTGCATTGCTGTAAAACAGAACTTTTCTTACATGAAATATATATTTTATTACTGAAAGCTTAAATTTTTCATGACTCTTTATTTACACCACTACTGGGTTATTTTATTGCCCTCCTCAATAGACAACTTACTATGGTTGATTTACTAAATAGAGACTGTTAACATAACAATGTGAATGCTCAATGAGCTTAGTGAAAAGGGTGAAGTTGTATTCATTTTAATTATCCAATCATGTATTGATTTTTTAATTCCCTTTGCATACATAAGGGATAACATAAGTGGTTCTAAAGGTTGAAGGTTTTTACCTTCAAGCTCTCCCCTCAGTCTCCCCTAATACTTACCTGAGCTTGATCATGATCCAGTGCTGTGCACAAGAGAAGTGGCTCTCCCAGGTCTCTCTCTCCTCATTGGCTGGGACACAATAGAGGAAGCCAGTGTCTCAACCACAGTCACCGAGGAGGGAGCTTGAGGCAGGGCCAGGCCTTGCTCTGTTTGTCTCTTAAACACACAGAGGTAGCTCGGGAGCGAGCAAGCCAAGCACGAGTGCCCCCGAGCAAGAAGCTTGCTCTGGGGGCACTCAGCGAAAGGGAGGGGCACAAAGTGGCAGCAGGGGACCCAAGAAAAGGGGGATCGGGGTTGTTCTGTGCAAAACCATTGCACAAGTCAGGCAAGTATACCATGTTTGTTCAGTTTTTCAACATTTCACAGTTTCTACTCCTTTCATAAATCAATATCATAGAAATTCCAAGTTGTCACCAGGCAGAACTAGCTATTTTTCACAGATGCACAGCATGTGTGATAATCTTTGTAAATGTCCATATATACAAACATCTTTATGTTATTAGATGTTAAATTACTGCATTGTTTGCTCTTGCTAAAACGTCTCTTCTTTGCACATAGAATGTGAAGTATTTCTTTTGTGATCTTTGCTACAACGTAGTTGCTGGTGTGCAGTGTGGTCCAGTGGGATCGCTGCCGTGCAGATGCACCAATGTCAGGACATTGCACTGCTCACTTTTTTTTTAATGCACTTTATTGAACTGTCACACAGACATTTAAAAAAGTTCAATTGACTGCTGCACAGTGAGATGCGGTGGATTGCCTTGCACTATGAAACATTAGTGCTGGCAGTACTTTTTTCACCGCACATTACCCTCACACCACCATAATGTAATGGTATGAATTGGGCACACAGGGAACAAGGCTATTTGTCATGTGGTGGCATTGTGCTGGAATAGCTGCCCAGTGCAGTCCTGCTGCATATGCTGTGAACGAATCCTTACTGAAAAATAATTACAGAATTATGTGAATACACATATTTGATGTCATTATTTTACATAAATGCACCACTCTCATCCGATGCAGGAAACACAAAGGGCCCCTTTTCAAGTTTACTTAATGGAAAAAGGGATCATAAATGAATACATCAGGTGGATCAGAAATATTCAAATATATGAATTTACATAATGTTTAATTATAGTCATGAAATAAATAATAAGCAAATTGTAAGTTTCTAAGGAAAAATATAGAACTAAATTTATCAATTGTCAATATTATTTGATCAAATGTACTTACATACATCATATGCATCTTCCGTTTCAATGATGGCATCAGTGAGCACACCAATATTACATCTCTATGATAATAAAAAGTTCTGAAGAAGTTATCTTCATACCACATATACATCTTACTAAGCATTAAAGCTTAACTCTAGGTTAGAATGGATGCAGGGCACCAGCAGATAGATTGCACATAACGTGGTTTAACTGTGTGGCTTTTTTTAGTTTCAAATGATATGGATAAGAGTTAAAGTGGTTATAAAGTTAGAAAGTTTTTTTACCTTAATGTATTCTCTGCATTAAGGTAAAAAACCTTCTGTGTTTAGCTCTCCCCCCCCCCCCCCCCGGCCCCTCCTAAATACTTACCTGAGCCCAATCTCGATCCAATTCTGTGCCCGAGGGCAGCAGCTCTCTTGTCTCTCTCTCACTTTCTCTCCTCAAAGGACATGGAGGCAGCAGCAGGAACAATTAGATCCTGCTGCTATCAATCCCAGCCTGTGAAGATAGACTGGGGGTGGGGCCAAGCAGCACTGTGTTTGTCAATGGATTGAGCCAGCATTCAAAAGGGGGGAGGAGCCAGGAGCACCAGCAGGGGACCCCAGAAAAGGACGATTGGGGCTGAAAAAAGCATTGCGCAGAGCAGGTAAGTATAACATGTTTGTTATTTTATGAAAACAAACACCTTTACAATCACTTTAAAATTTCTGCTAGATTTAAAGTTCTCTCTGTAATCACACTGGGGAGATTTTTCCTCACTTCCTATCCCAAGGCATAAAAAAAAATATGAAAGCAGTTGTCACAAGAACAAGAAGGCAGCGAAAATATACAGAAAGGCTAACTTGTTCCCACTCTACTAAAAATATGTTTTTGTTATGTTTTTGCCAATGTTCACTGTAGAGAGTCTCCCCAAAAAAAACAGATACACCAGTAAAAACCCAAGAGAGGCTCTAACTCTCCCCATTCCAAAACAAATTAAAAAAAAAAGATTAGGCTGGAATTAGGCTTTAAATCCTGTTTTATTATTGTGTGATTGATTCCACTATTGCTATCTATCTATGATCAAACATTAAGTGAACATAAATAATTACCAACTGCAGTGCCCACAACAAAAGTAGTGTCAGATACTTTCTCAAAGGTTGATGTAGGTTCTATTGCACAGGTAGGTTTGACCTTTTGCAGTTGATCATGGGTTTTTGTAAAATATTACTTGATATATGGGTTTCTGAGACACAACATAGTTGCTTGAATGTGTGATCATTAGCATGTTCATTTACTAAAGTGGTACTGAAGACTGAAGTTTTTTTAAGGTAAAAAAAATCTGTACACCAGAGCAGCGGATCTGGCCTCTTTCTCTTTCCCCACAGGACACATTGATAGCAACGGGAACCATTGGCTCCTGCTGTTGTCAATCAAATCCTATGATGAGGGAACAGGGGTAGGGCCGAGTCCGACTGTCTGTGTCTATGGACGCAGACAGCAGGACTCAGGAGCAAGCCACTTCCTATGGAGACACTGGCCAAAGACGAAGAGCCAGGAGTGCTGGCAGGGTCACAAGAAGAGGAGAATTTTATTTAACTCCAAGTATTAATTCCACAAATTTGGCTTCAAGCAATATACTGTATGTCATTAAACCAGACATAAAAATACGTGAAATAGTCTCATAGTATAATTTAGATTTTCTGTGATTATTTTAATCTAAGATCTCTCTCTCTCTCTCTCTTAACACCAAAATTATTTAATATTTACCTCAAAGACTTGATGTGGATTAGTGATACGTCTTGGTTGAATTGTGCTGTAATCTCTCAAATCTTCTGAAATCTGAGAGAGAGAGTTAAAATTAATAAATTAACATTTTTCATGGTATTAAAGCAGCATAAAACCCCAAACCAAAAATGTAATATATTGCAGCTTACCAATCACTAGATGTGGTGGCTTCACTAGTTTTCTGATTTTAAAGTTTTTTTCCTGTTTTCACCTGGTGATCTGGCCAGTACACACATCCTGTATTAAGGTGCCTATACTCTGGATATAGCAGCAATAGAGACACCTTTTGACAGCAGCATTTAGGCATCACCATCTAGGCACCCACTTTTCATCCATTACACATCTGTCTCAGAGGCTGGTCATTAGCTCTGAGGAAAGGGAAACGCGTCAGCATCTGACCGCACTGACAGTGAGGCCATCGTCATTTTTCTATGCTTTTTAGATAAATGCTTCGTTTGTGAGTATGTTTTTATTATTTTTTACTCTTTACAATAAACCTTGGATAATGCACTAGGTGTGTGCGCCACCTGTTTTCTCTTTATCCAGTGGCTGATTTCCCCATCTGAGGAGGGCTGCACCCCTGAAGCATTTCCTTTGGTTTTCGCTGTCCTGATACCCTTGGCTTCCCTTTTGGCTGTGCATATCCTGATGTGCTGGAGAGTACATACGATATCCAGCAGCATTGTCAGTCTAGGGGGAACTTAGTGTTATCTGTACTTTCAGCTCTAGATACACTAACAAATTGAAGCCAAACTCCAGATAACACTTTTTAAGCAGTTACAGCAACAGTTTTGTTCCTTTTGGGATAAAGGGTTTACATGTTAGTGTTAAATGGTTTGTCTCAACCCTCTAAACTGCTACATCTGCAGGTCAGCTTGTTCTGTTGAAAAACAACAGAAATACAAGCTAGTTCTTGATAAACTGATAAAAGCACTGTCAGACCTCCCCATAATTGAGGTTTGTGTGTTTGGTAAGCTGCTGGATGTTTTTTTCATATTGGCTAGTGCACTATATTGGTGTAAAGAATACAATTTCACTTCACGATGGACTTTATGATATTGGGACTATTTATATTGATATTTTTTCAACATGATTTGTGAAAGATATGATTAAAGTGGTATCGCAACACATTCATGTTTATCTGTATCTGGATACATTTTTGTTGTGTTTAATACTGGTGAGTGCTGCTGTCTCTCTGGTGTTTTAATTTATTGTTTTTATTTTTATGAGCACCTTAATACAGGTTTTCACATTTATTTTATTTTCTTATACTAGCTAGTTTACCAGGTGAAAATAAAACAAAAAGCCTAAAAAAATAAAACAAATGCAGCCATCAGAGCTAAGAATTGGTAAGCTGCAATATAATATAATGTTTGCTTTTTTGTTTTAATTACCATTTTAAGGTCTCCTGAAAATATATTGCTTTTTCTGGTCATTGTTCTTTAATTTAAAAGCAGTGATAATAGAAAACAAATCATGTGAGGTCAGGTGTCAAACACAATGCAATAAAAATCTGACATTATTGTAATTATTACTTATCATCCGGGAGACAAAAGACAACACTAAAAAACAACCCAATATCAGTAGGTAATAGGCTTTATAGTCCCACCTTTGCCTGAAGTGGCGGCTTAGAATATAAGATTCCTTGAATTGGAGGACCGATAAAAACCCTTACCCACTTACTTGACCAACATTGCAGTTATAATGTTGGAACAAGCAATGGAGTGAGCACATCCAAAAGGAATAAAGCAGAAAAAAATATTATTGGGTGCTAATTGCAGTGATGCCCACACCAAAAAACAACCAGATAACATATTCAATAATAATTTAATTAACAGAAAGTAAGTAGGTTATTGGCAAAATTCTGCACAGTACAATCTATTTTCTACACAGTAAGTAAGATCCTGCAACAGAAGTATGTTACATTCAGAACATCATAAATCTAATGCACATAGCAACATGAGTAAGTCATATTTATCATACTACACATGCATTGTTGTCTATTTGCTTAAATAATTTTGCCCCTTCCTCCCTCTGTAGCAACGAGATGCTCTGTGTAGCTAGTCCCACCCTCTTTTCAATGCATCTTTAGTTTTTGTTCTGAGCACATGCAATTGCTGGAGCTAGACATACTATGATTTTTTTACCTATCTGATGTTCATCTGCACACATTTTGGATTAAAGCTTTTTACGATCTACAAAAGGTCATTTGGATTGAGTCACTGTCTGCTAATTCTACCGAGACTGAAGTTACAGCTATTTTGCCACAGCTAGATCAGTTATGCAGATCACACTTGCAGTGCTTAGATTGGAGAGGCAGAGCAATATTTTTCAAACTACCACGATAACATAGTACATAAAATTCTAGCACAATGGGATATGTGGACAAGCAAAGCAGTTTTAGTTATATAGTGGCCAAAATGTGCACCAGCAAATGTAATATAAAGCATTAATGGCAGTGCAATATACTGTAAGTCCTCTATAGTCCATCATTTAATGTAGAAGGTTCCTTTTTAAAATCAATATAGTCAAGAACCACAAAACCCAGCCAGCAATGGAGCTTTCTGACATGTCTTTCCCAATCAAACAGGTGCCATATTCACAATTCTTCCTATCTTTCTCTCTTTGTCTACCTTTTTCTTCCTTATTAGCCCTTTTACAGATTAACCCAGTGAAGACCTTTAGGATCCTACCACCTAGGCATTATTGAAACAAAAACAATGGACCCATAAAAGAGCATTAGCATTTTGATGACGTTTACCTGGCCTGTGCTCCATCACAAACCTGAATTCACAGAGTGCCAAGAACTATTGGTCACCCTGTTTTTTGTCCCTTTATTTTGTTGCTCTAATGTCAGGGGAGCAATGTAAAAAGCATGCCCAAACTTCCTTCTTAAGGGGTGACACCTTGAGAGCCTACGGTCCATTTAATAACCAAATCTGGTATCCGTGGCTCCTTCATGGATTGTGGGCCACCACGGCGGCTGGCGCAGCAGGAGACCCAGGCCAGAGAGGTGAGGCTCCGGGGTGTTGGAGCTGAGCCCTTGGTAGGCCGGGGGGAGGGGTCGGTGGCCGGCAGCAGCCAGAGGGGAGCAGAGAGGCCCCAAGACTCCGGCAATCCGGGAGTAGGAGGTGGCGGTATCCAATGAGAGGGGGACGCTGGAACGCTCAGGTGACCACCAACATTATAGTATCCAGAAGCCTGAGAGATCTGGGAGAGTCTCTGCGGAGGTGGTAGGGCACCGGAAGAGAATCCCCCCCCTCACCAAGGCACTATTCTTGGCAGATCCTGAGACCCTAAGATACCCAAAAACACCTATCATCTAGAGGCCCCCCCACAGGTACAACTGGAAAGCAAGATCTGAGACCCTACCTGGGAAAAAAGAGTGAGCAGAGATGGAATGGTTTTGAACCTCAGGCACAGAAGGTGATGGTGAGTCAACGTAGGTTACGGAAGGACATTTAAAGTTTCTGTTGTTTCTGATATTCCAGATGTAAATTACTGTATATTTGAAATGTATTTTTAAAAATATTTTTCATATGTTTTGTAATAAAAATGCATTTCAACATGCAGTAGATAGATAGATAGATAGATAGATAGATAGATAGATAATATTTAAATTGCAGTATATTTAATATGGCCAACTTGTAGTATTTCAAATATATGTCAATATATTTGGGAAGAATATTTTTCAAATATATTTTTCTTCCTTATGGGTGATCATAAAGTATTAGCAGGAAACTAGGATGAAAGAGTTGATGCTGGAGTGGATACACCTGCATCAAGTGGGTTTAATTCCTGGCAGAGAAGGGAGGGACAATGGCCTGAGATCATTGGTCCTTCTAAAAAAAGCAAGAGAGAATCTGCCGACAATAATACTGTTGATTGATGCCAAAAAATCTTTTGACAGGGTTGACTGGGGTTTATGATAGATACGTTAGAAGCTTTGAGACAAGGGCCCAAAATGTTAAAGTGGATAAAATGGCTTTATGATGGCCTGGCAGTAGCGGTAAAGGTTAACGGGTCCCTTTCTTGGGTCTTTAAAATGTATGTACTAGCCAGGGATACCCACTCTCCCCTTTGTTATTTGTAATATCCCTGGAACCTGGTGAAAAAGAATGTTGATATAACAGGAATTAAGATAAATGAAATGGAACATAAGGTGGCAGCGTACGCAGATGATATGTTGTTCTATATTGTAAATCCCAGATTAACATTTCCTAACTTAATGAGACTATTAAAGTATTATGGAGAGTTATCAAATCTGAAAATAAACCCCTCAGAGTCAGAGATATTGAATATCAGTCTCAAAGATAGAGAAGAAGACCCTGCAGAAAGATTTTCCATTTACATGGAGGGAAAGGGAATTAGGTTATCTAGGAATAAAGTTAACTCCTTCCATAAAGGGCTTATACCAGGCAAATTATATTCAACCAATAAGTGAACTAAAAAATGAGTTGGGGAGACTCTCAAAGGGAGGGGCCTCTTAGATAGGTTGTATAAACGTGGTAAAGATGGTGATATTACCAAAAATCTTGTATAAGTTGCACATGCTTCCAGTACATATACCAGGGTCTTTCTTTGTGATAATAAAAAAAAAATTATACTTAGGTTTATATGTGCAAATATAATATAAAATATAATATAAAAATACTTTTGTACACCTGTGGGACACAATTTCGCACAACCAGACCACATTATGGAAGACCTCAATGTTTTAGTTCTTAAAGGAAATTTTAAATCCATTCAGGAAAGAAAAACGTTTGAACTAAGAATGATTCTATTTGACACAAGAGATAAAGGCCTTAATTTCGACATGGGATTCCTCAATCATTATCCAACATTTTTATGACTCCCTCTGTGAGTGTTGTTCCCCCCCCCCCCCCCAGTCTTTGCTTTTGCTTTGCTGTGTCTTATCTCTAGGCTAACCCTAGGCTTGTGTTTCTTTCTGCTCTTTTTTTTTTCTCATCCCCCACATCTCTTCTAACATTCTGCTAAAACGTTGTAATAGTACTGCTTGGACCTTGAAGAAGGGGACATACCCCGAAAGCTTGTCCTCAAAATTGTATGTTAGTGCAAATAAAAAAAGTATCACGTCAGTGCTCAATTGTTTCTATTTAGAGAAATATAAGCACTGGGTACTGAACATAGGATGTCTCTTTCCGCACAATGCGTGGGGCGGACACACTTTCCTCGATTCCTATTGGCTAAGCCTCCTTCAATCCATGCACAGTGATAGCTCTGTTTTCCCCCAGTGCTTTATGGCGTCGCTGAGTGCACCAGGTGAATATAACAAACCAGATCCTCCCATTCACAATCAGTATCTGAAGGACATGGTCCAACCAAATGGCTAATTCTTCAGAGAAGAAACAGGGAGCTATTAAGCCTGCAGGTCACCCCCAGAGATTTACCATCACCAGAGGAAAAGGAGCCCTGTACTCAGGCTGAGCACCTAATCCATCCTTAAGGGGACCTCTGGATCCAGCAGAATTCTATAATTTCTTACGGCTTGATGACTACACCATAGAAGGATGTTCACCTAATTATCCCGTCTATCCACAGATACCTTGATGGTTATTATATTATATGCGCATTACCTATGCGCTTTTTCGAGTGCGTACTATTGGTTGGTGTCACAAGTCTATCTGCTGCTGACTGCACTATCCTAGGATTTTTTATATATATTTGAACTTTATTGGTGGACTTATTTATATTATATTATCATACGGGTTACTCTTTGATATTTGCTTGGTTAATCTTTATTGACATTTGATTGGTAATTTTGCTCATCATTTATTACATTTAGTGCTACACCCATATTTTACTAAGTAATTTTTAAGAGTTTTTACTGCATTTCCCGTTTCTTCTCCTCAGTAAATGTGGTTTGAAGTGCATGCCTGTGACGTAAACACCTAGCTAGAAAATACTATCTTCCTCTTTCAAGGATAAGAAAAGCATCTTATGGTCAAACCAGTTTGAACCAGCAACTGTCATGATGGATGCTATTTTGGACTGATTATGTGATGTGAACCCCCACTTAACTCTGAGTTTGCTGTTAAGCATATGAGGATTTGATTGGATTAAGACCGTATGAACACACCTGGACTTTATACAATCACGCCTGGATCTTATGTCTATATATACATTAGCCAAAAGCTTAAGACACAGATATATATTTTGTATTACCTTAGTTCATTGCATACAAAGTGAACTTTTGTATGCTATATTATCTCCACAGCAGTGTAATAAATGCACCTTTCTTTATCATTTGGACTCACTATCTCATCTGAAAGGTTTTGGTTGTAGACCCCCTAACCTGAAGTTACAGAAGTAGTAGGAGTATAAGGTGATGAGAGCAGGGAATGTATGATCGAGTAGCTGTGGAGGATTATGTGAAGGAAAGAGAGAGTGGAGGTATGAAAAAAGGGACAGAAATACAGACAGAAAAACATAGGAGGAACTAGAAGTAAAGAATATGGTATATTGACAGGGGAAATTGAATGGGGGGGGGGGGAAGGTGGGAGGGGAAGGGAATAGGTTAATTTACGTGAACATTCTTGTGTGAGTGAACGGTTTTGGTATAAAGATGATTTTTTTTGTAATGAAAACATTAATAAAAAAAAATATAAATATATATATATATATATATATATATATATATATATATATATAAAATCAAGAGGCATCCTATGTTCAGCACCCAGTGCTTATTGTTCTCTAAATATGTTGTATAGACTTGAACAATGAATGCTTAATAAAAAGAAATTCATTATTTATTAATGTAAAGCAAAATGAACTCACTCGTTTTGTAGTAATTTCTTGTCTGTCTCCAAGCAACTTCACACTTTTGTCCACAACTGAAAGGCCAACCAAAGAATTAGACTCAGTCACGTTGATCTTTAGTGTTACACTGTCTGATGGGCTTGCTTTCTCTTTGTTCCAAGAAACAAAAATCTGCAAGTGATATAGTTATTTCAGAGAAGTTGAAATGGGTGGAATGTAAAGAAAATTAACATTAAAGATATATATTTCTATCATCCATTAAACAAAACAGAAACACAGTATTACAATGTGAAATAATATACTGGTAGATTTCTAATTGTACTATTGCAAATATGATCCCTAGCTTGAGGGCTATAAAAAAATAATTTTGAGGTTGAATTACTAAAGCTAAATAGACTGTTGATTTTGCCAGGGAGTTTCTCTTTAGCTTAGTGAATGAGGGGAAGCACTGCTGACTTCTATCATTTAATCATTTGCATGCAGAAATATAGTTGTTTTTTTTTTTCAAATGATTGGGTATTCTTTTCTAAGGGAATTTTCACCGCATCCCTAAACTAAGTTAAAATTCATTGCAAAGTGAACAACCTTTTTTCCTTTAGTAAATCAACCTCCTTGTTGTCTTACATGATTTGAGCTGATTGGATCTACTCTGCTTGTAATTGGGAAAATCATAGACTCCAATTCATTTTGTAGGTTGTATTATCTGCTCTAGGTCTAATGCAACAATTGGGCTAGTCTAAGGGCCCCTTGGATTTCTATATTGGCAAAGTCAGAATATTGGCAAAGTCAGAATGAAGGTATTTATGTCAAGAAGACATGGCATATCAATAAAGTTACATTTTGCATGACTTTACAAGGCCCATTCCCTATTCTCATCGTTGCACTAGTGACCCAAAATTTAGAAGAGATTGTGTGCAGAAAGGATTTTTTGCTCACCCTGCAAACAAGAAAGACCCACTTACCTGTTCAATGTGTGGATTGATTTACCAGGAATAGTAAATAAGCAATTCATAACAAATGTTTGACTGCAGAAGATCAACAACACAATCAAGAGTGGGAGTTCTTAGTTCGTTGTCACTAGAGCAAGCAGACCATTGGAAGATTCCAATTGTATTTCTGTTTCAGTGATAACAAAACATTGGATTTTCCCTTACTTTCCGTGCAAGTGATAATGGTTACTAGAACTAATAGAGTCAATCTCCCAAACGGCGCCATAGAGAGCAAAAAAAACAGTGATAATACTGACCTACTCTTTGCAATGTTTTTTAAAAAAGTGTTTTGGCTGTAGATACACTTTAATATAATAATAATAAAAATGGCAAACACAAAAAAATTACAACAGAAAAAAAATCACCTTATTTTCAAAGTTAGGATGAACAGAGAGAGTAGTAACATCATTAACAACTGTGCTGTCACCCAACGTTGTGTAAACAACTAAACATGCCTCTGGAGTCCATGAGCTCTGTGGATTCAGTGTTAGTGACATAGCATTCTCCTTACCGACATGTACTATCTGACCTCGGGAAATAACCTGACAAATAGAAACAGAAACAACTGTAAAAAAAAAAGCTTTGCTTTAGGCTTGCCTTGGTCAGCATTGCATCATTTTTCTAGTTACAATGGTAAAAAAGTTGAAATCTGCTTACAGCAATTAAGAAAAACAACCTCATACCACTGGTATGAGCTTTTATGGATCTGATTTCTAACATCATAATTAACTAAAAGCAGTAGTGTGACCTTATTATAGGTGTACTATTGCTTTCAAAATATTTTTTTAAATGGGTGTCCTTTAAAATGTGCCTAGCGCTTTTATTCAAAGAAAGCGGAGTGCAATTAAAAAGAAAAACATCTAACCAGAGGAAAGTCCAGTCACATGACCTTTCAAAGTCATGGGACCGGCATTAGATCTCTTTACATCATTAAGCACTGGCACACTGCAGGCGCCATACCGCAGCCTGCATTTTATGAATACAATGTAAATTGCAGGCCACAGGGTAACAGAATAAACAAGATGAATGAGCGCAACTAAGAACAAATTAGGCAAACTGGATAAAAAGCTGATAGCATATAAAGGTATACCTCAGCACTTCAGTAACAAAATACAAGTTTTGGATATGCAGCGCTAAATAAAGTGATACCATAATAGACAAGGACTGATGTACATTCATAAAATGTTCATAAACAATAAATGAGTCCCAAATAAGATGGTGTTCCAATGGCTGTTAGGGCCAAGCAGTATAGTTTGATTCCGTGAAGTAATAGTACAATAATGCGCTTACCAGAAGTACATACAAACTGCGCGTTGTATGCATATAATCTGTAAATGCGTCAAGGTCTGGTCACCGGTATGGCATCATCAGGTACAGTGGCGGACTCTCAAGGATGATGTCACGCACAGGGTCCACCTCGCCATGTATTGAACTTAGCAATCACATGATTGCTGATCACTGACGGATCACTGCACCTGACGGAACCTCTCAGCGAAGTGCTCAGAGCCTGAGCCAGCCGCTCCTTCCCCCTGCACAGCCCAGCACTCCAGTGAGCGCTGAGGGGGCTGAGCAGAGAGCTGTCACAGACAGCTTAGAGTAGAGAGGAGAGCTCAGTGATCAGCAATCATGTGATTACTGAGTTCTCACCCTTAGAGTCGGTGGGGGACAGATGCAGCATCGGACCATTGCTGCATCCACCTAGCTAAGTATAAACAGGGAAAAAAAGCTCTACTTCTCTTTTTTAATGAGTTCAGTTTACGCAATTCATGCTAAATTACCAGATATTTTATTTCATCCAGATGGATGTTGCTCTTTACATCCAGATTAAATGGAATGCCGACCTAGATAAAAACAATAAAAAAGAAAAAAAAACATAACATTTAAATAGACACATACAATTAATATACTGTAATTGCTAGTCTGAGTAATTGTAGCATAGGGCTATCTGCTAAAGCCTGGTTAATAGATTCTATACTGTATATAAGGTTAATAAATGTCACAAAGATACATTTTGTTAGATTATTCAAAATGTTTAAGCTGTGAATAAAAATATACCACAGTCATAGTTCGGCAAAGTGTTAGTCTAATAGAGTAGAATGTTCTAAAATGAATATTGTTATATTGTAATTACTTTGCAGTTTTCCTCATGTATAAAATTGATGCATATTGCTAACCACAGTAAGTATCGATTTCTTCTTTTTAAAGGAGGCCAATGCTTACCCTACAAAGACCACCTTGAAGAGAATTTGTAAGCTTTTTTTTTTTTTAATATCATTTATTTATTTATTCAGAACTTAAAAATATAGTCTTAAAATTATTATAGTTTTTAATTACGTAACTAAGAAATATTATATGTTAATATTGTATTTTCATTTTTCCACAAAGCAGGTAGAGCTACAGTATGAGTTTACACATTTACCAGGCTAAGAAGTGACTCATCCATCTCCCTCTGCTTGGTATGGCTCTGGACAGATTTCCAGTTAGAGAGAGATAGTCTAAATGCAAACTGTATCTGCTGTAATCTCCCTTTAAAAAAGCACCCTGTAGTAAATGTTTATTTGTAATATAAATATTTTAAATAACTACAAACATAACCCAGTTTAAACAAATGTTTAGGTACAACAAAATCAAACCTACAACCTAGGTCCAGGGCCTCTCCAATGTGGTTGACATTACTAATAACAGTTAAGCATTGTTCATATGATCTAATCTGGGTGGGCTTTTATGACTCACTTTTAGGTGATCAGTGGTTCTGTATGAAGAGTGAGCCTCTCTTTTGGTGAAGATTACTAAATAATGTCTCATCATAAATAAACTTATTGATGGAAGCAGGACAAGAATTCACTAACATGGTCCCAATTTTTTTTTCTTGTAATCAACAAGTTCCTGTATGGCTTACCTTAACTTCCTGGTTTTCATTTTGGACCTGCAGATATACTTTATTTGGCGAATTAAATAAATCATGAACATCAATTGAATTTGAACTGTCCAGAAATACTGCCTGAAAACAATATGCAATATAAAAATACACACACATTATATATAATTTATATTTATAAACACACCACACCAATATATACAGAGATTCCCTAATTACAGGTACATTATTATAGAACTAAAAATTCCAGTGTATATAATTTTCTTTTTAAACTATTAATGAAAATGCTTTATAATGAAGCCTCAAAAAATATTATGTAATATAAAAACAATTAATAAACTACCCAACACATGGGAACACATTTGATTGTTGGCTTAGCAAAATAAATGATCATTGAGCTTAGTAAAGAAGATTAAATTCACTTCAATCAACCAAATATTCAATTTTTATATTTCCCATGATTTTGATTGTATGTTAAATGTGAACTGTGTTTTTTTTTACAAACATTTTTTATATTTGAATATTAGAATCAAATATGAGAGGTTTTGCAATCACATTACAACGCTAGTACAACAGCACAGAAAATATATAACACCAGCAATGTGTCTAGATAGGTACTTAATACTAAGACTTAGTAGTACACAGTTACAATTGTAAATCAAAAAGGGGGCATAAAAGAAGAAATAGAAAAAAGTGAAAGAAAAAGTGGATATAGAAAAAGTGCCAGGAAAGATAAAAGGCATGTAAGCATTTGTAGTCATATAGATCTGAGCTTCAAAGGCCAGGAGAAATTATTTAAACATACTGCATGTATCTAGGTTGGGAACCAGAATAGAAAGATTAAGTAATAAGAATTGTACTATTCCCTAAGAATAGGTCCAAAAATCCAATTTCTTGTGAAAGGTTGGTACTGCCCACCAGATGCAACATAGGGTATAATTGCAACCCTGGCCACCATTGCACTTTAAAAGGGGTGATCAAGGGGAAGTAAAATCACAGCTCAACCTCCTATTTTATTGCCCACCAGCCACCCATATGAAGGAAACGCAAAAGGTTTTTTTCTAGAATGTAATCTGGAAACAGTATTGTTGTTTTTAATATGCTGTCCTAATGCTACCCATAACCCCAGATGACTATCATCTAAGTCCAGTGAACGTGGTCATATTGATAAAATTAAGGTGATAACAAGGATGCATGGGGCACTACAGCAGGCATCCTTGGCAGACCATTATCAGAAGAGTCTGTTAGCTGGTTGTATTTTTAGGTTGATAGTCTATTGTTAGAATAATGGTGGATGTCTCTAAAACTTGAAGAATTTGTAGGCTATGTAAGGTACATTTGTATACTACTTTGTAGCTTCACACAATGAGTTATCAATTCTTCACAACCAGCCTAACATTAGCAATGTACCACCTGATTTTCTAAAGTGAAGTGAATAATCCATGCACTGATTGCAATAAACGGTCATGTATGATTTACCATCCAAGAAATCACAGAAACTGGAATTTGTTGAAAGTGCTTACTATTATTCACAGAGATTTTCCAATAAGTTGGAAAATATATGTGGTCAACAAAGGATTATTCCTTTTTCCCAATAGAAAAGTGAGATTTGCTTGCTTATAGCCAGTAAAGTGAATCCTATATCATTCACAGATAATGATACTGCGGGACCAGGAATCTGGCAATTAAGATCAAAGAAATGCCTTACTAATTAGTAGGAATATTAACAGTTGACACAAATATCTACATATTGCATAATCCTACTAACATTCTGCCAATATCTTTGTAATGCAGATACACTTAAGTAAGTTGGCTGCAAACATGCCAGAAGTATTATCCAACTGGCCAGATACTACCGTGTGCGTCATCAAAATGTTTCACTGAATTTAAATGGATCACTATCAGGCATGTTCCTAATGGGGCCTGACCACACCAGTATCTGAATGCAGTCATTTTATGGCTACACATAAAGTCAGCTATGTATGTTTACTTGTTCTCAACTGCAAGTCTGCTGACTGCTCATAATCATGCTTATGGACAGATATCGAAATGCACACTATAAAAACATTGCAAATACTATTAGTAACACATTGCACTTAAAATGAGTTGGAAAAAAAGAACCCTTTTTTGCATTTTCTAGCAAGAGTCAGCTGGTAATTAGTGTATTAATTCCATTGCTTGCTTCTCTCCATCATCCAGCTGCTTCAAAATGAAAGTTACATAGGGTAGTTCACTATGAGAATATAGAAAACAATGAAACCATTCATAATTAAAAAATAGTAAATAAAATAAATAAACATATACATGTTAAAGTCACAAAAAATATATAAACCCAGTACTGGTGCTCAATGTATTATCTTCAAAAAATGTTTCACTGTGCTTGACAAAAGTGCCCCACATGGACTCACATTCACCACTAATCAATGACAATCTATCTCTAGAATGGTCATACAAGCTTGTTCAGGGTAATTCCTAGAATACCGGTGGTCTCCAATATATGATCCTGTACTCATATCCTAAGATGATTCATAAGGCTCAATAAAGTGGATGTGGATGCCAAAAAAATTGGTGGTCTCCAGAGTCCCACAGATTTAGAGCATTGAGTAAATATATACTGTATCACCATGTGAAAAGAAAATAGAGAAGAGACATCCCATAATGTAAACCTGTATGGTATATTTATTGTGGTAAAATCAATAAAAACACACTCACAGACAGAGTGCCAAAATGGAGTTCACTGTGCATCTGTGGCAGTCTGGAGACCACCAATTTTTTTGACTACCACTTTATCGAGCCCTATAAATCATCTTAGGATATGAGTATAGGATCATATATTGGAGACCACCGGCATTCTTGGAGAATTACCCTGAACAAGCGTGTATGACCATTCTAGAGATAGATGGTCATTGATTGGTGGTGAGTGTCACTTTTTTGAAGATAATACATTGAGCACCAGCACAAGCACTGGGTTTATATATTTTTTTGGGACTTTACCGTGTATCGGGGTGGACTGACCATTTGGAAACTCGGCACTGCCCGAGGGCCCGGGGTCAGTAGGGGACCCCATAAGATGCCCCTGGTACCTTTTTCATAGGCTTTTTTGAGTTTGGGCAAGGACACAGGGGCCCCATGATCCCCTATTGCCCCGGGGCCCCATAAGTTGTCAGTCCGCCCCTGACGTGTGTATGTTTATTTATTTTCTTTAATATTTTTTAATTATGCGTAGTTTCATTGTTTTCTTTATTATTTTGTTGTGTTAATTTACACAAGTAGAGGGCTGCAGCATTAGGTTTATTTGGATATCACTTATACATATTTTTTAAAAAAAAGTCACACATCCGTTAAGGGCATCAGCACCTTGTTTATTAGTTCACTATGAGGCATATGTTTTAAAGTCAATGAAAATGTATGCATTTTCTATTCTGCAAATGCATTTAGTATGCAAATCTGATCTATGAGCAAAGGAACATCATGTGAAGAAATAGAAACAGCTAGTTCAAAACAGCAAACTTTTTACAAAGTTCAATATACTATCCAACAGTACTTTGAGGGTTGAAGCTCAGCTTGTGTGTAGTAGGGCTCCAAACATTATGTGAATGCAATTACAACCATTCACCAAAAGCAAAAGACTACTTGTGTACAAAGAAATCCAAACAGCATTTAAACGAAGATAGATGAAGGATAAAAACAATGTGCATAACACCAAAGCTTATTCTGTCATCCACTGAAAGGAATGGTGCCACTCACCAGCAGAGAATGACCTCTCTATTACAGGCTGGTCAAAATGAACTTTTGCAGCAAATATATTTAACTTCCATGTTTTCTGTGACATCAGCTCTACGTATTTCCATTAACGAAAGCACAAAAAAAAAGCTTGATTGGGTAGAGTCTCTGTTCTGTAACATCATACAACTAGCATGGTTAGGTTTTATTTATTTTATTTATTGAGCATTTTAACTAGCTTTATACTGTATATGGTTTTAAATGGAATTTAGAGTCTGAGCTTGGAACTAGACTCTGAGCTGGTCTAAAAAACTTCATTTGGAGTGTTTCTCTTTATGTCGAACCTCTTGAAAGAAGTCATCATGGAATTTGTTATCTTATATGTAGAGAATTTACATTCTCTACAGGTGAGTGATGTCAACCCTGACTGTTATGCACATGTCTGAATCTTCATTACTTTTAAATGCTGTTTTGCCTTCTTTGCACAGAAGAGCCTTTTCTTTAGGTGTATGGGATTCTAATTTGAGGAAAGTGCATTCACATGTACCTTTTGGATTTTGGAGCACTATTTGGCATCCAATACTGAATGTGTTGTTGATGTGTTGAAAATATTGCTTCTTTTAAAGGAGAGCCTCACTGCCCCCAAAATTAGCCAGAAGGAGTAGGTGACTAAGGAAGATTTTACTATTTTTCTTACAGTCATCCTTCAGATGCATGAGTACAGTTGTCACAATTTTGAGGGAAGGGATGTTGAACTGTGGAGGTAGGATACAATCCATATTGGTTTTATACCTTGCATATCTCTCCTACCTCCAGTTGACATATGCAAGATATAAAACCAATATCCAGATTTTGAAGTTACACAATTTAGAAATTTCACATTAGGATAAAAATAATCCTCACCTTGATCTTTAAATGAACTGTGTCCGGATTTATAGGTACTTCAACGTGAAGTATTCCGTTTTCAGGAAGATCGTAAGTTATAACCTGTTGAATTTCAATATTACCTTCTTCCTCTGTGGATATTTTTGTAAAAATCCCTTCAGTGAAAAACATTTTTGACTGAGTTATTGTTACAGAAACATCATTCATTCTATCATCTGCAGTCAGATTTCTTCCATCATATCTCTTAATTTTAAGCTGAGGGGGAAAAAAAATAGAAAAAATTAAAACACAATTGCACATTTGCTTACAAAAAAAAACAAAAACAAAACATGAAAACAACATAAGTATTCTACTGTTACTGAAACAGAAGTACAGAGACAGAAAGTTTTCTGTTCTACATTTTGGGTGTAATGTTAAAACACATAAACTGTCCTACATAAAATAATAGTAAACAACAAATGCATGTGCAAAAATAGTATAAGAAAAGTCAATTGTCAATATAAACAGTAATAGATACAGTACTTTATAAACATGACTATACATACTGTATCTTCCCCAAAACACTTGTACATGTGATTTATTTTTTTCCTTTATTTCTACTCTATAACAGCTCACAGGGAGATGAATTTTTCAATAAATATGGATAATCTTCCTTGATAATTAATGTCCTCATGCATTCAGCCTTATTCAACCACAATTTTGAAAATATAAAAGGACTGATAATTACACTATCCTAAAAATATAATCCACGTCCTAATGTCAGGGATCCCCTCGATCCCTGCCACGATGGTCCCGGCGCAGGCGCACTGCTCCGCCCTGTGCAGGGACACGGGCACTAGGTCCGGGCCGGCCGCGGCGTTCGAGTTCGCGCATGCGCAGTAGAAGCACCAATGGCAGCGCAGGGCGGGATATTTAAATGTCCCTGAGCTGTCATTTTGTTGCCTTCTGGTCTTACCTGCTTCCTGTGATTCTGAACCTGTGCCTTGTAAGTTAATTGACCCGGATTGTTCTTGACCTGCTGATTTCTCCTGCCCAGACCCTTGCTTTGCCTGACCTCTCTCCCTGATGCCCCTCATTAGATCTGACCTACTGTTGTTGACCTGGCGTGTGACCCGACGATTCTCTGCCTGCTCCCTTGTACCTTACCGCCCTCTACGTTACCAACTCGGCCTGTCTGACTTCGCACTTGCTCAGCCATCCATCCATCCCATCGGGGTCACCCGACCTCCTCACACCTGGCTCTCCCTGGTTGGAGCCCCTGGCGAACACCCCTACCACTGACAGGTGTGCTCAGTAGTGGCGACCTGGTCTCGGGGTACTACAAGTCCATCCCCACCATCAGGGGCCCTGGTGAACAAGTACCATGGGGCTTAGACTCCGCGCTCTGGGCACGCCTGACCAGTGGAGTGCTAGTGGTGCCCCTCGGCGGTCCCTCACACCTAATGAACTGGAATATTTTTTACTAAATTCATGAACACAAAAGCTAAATCAGGCTAGCCTAAAAAAAACTATGACCTGCTATGGCTACAATTATGGTCATATATGTCAGGAAATAGAGCGTTGTGGTTGTCTAGAGGGTCCATCTGTAAAAGGGATAACTGCACATAGGGATATATTTGGCGTACAGCAAGCAGCTGCAGTTAATAATGGGAGCAGTGCTCAACACAGACAGAGGGAGACCTCAGCACCTACACTACCATATTTAGTAAGCTGTAGTACACAGTTTGAGGTGATTCAGATACTGATCCAAGTAAGTGTATTCTGTCTATTTAGTCTAATGTCATTGTGATGGTGTATTCTTATATTCTCCTTCCTTGTGTGTTTTAGATTTAATTTTACCTAGTAATTTGAGATTAGAAGAGTGGCTTCACCATCAGCATTGTGCCTGAAATTTGGAGAACTATTGCTACTATTGGTATTGTAGCCCTTTGCTTTCCAGTTCTTGTGGAAATATTCCTCCCACTAGCACTGACAATGGAGCACTTTTTCTCCCACGTACATCAACAATGTGGCACTATTCTTCCCTCTAACAACAATAATGGGGCACTATTCCTCACCCTGATCCTAAACATGGAAAACTATTACTTCTGATGATTGGGCACTATTCCTCCTATGTACATCAACAATGTGGCATTATTCCTCTCACTGATCCGAAACAAGGGGTACTATTTTCCCCAACTATTGGGCACTAGTGCTTTCACTTATTACTACCACTGACATGATGCATTTCTTTAGTCTCACTGGCAGCAGCCCAGCCCCCCAAAAGGTCTGAAATGACCCTTTGTTGAGAACATTTGTGAACCATTGATGTTGTGTGTGCTGTACTCATCATCCAAACCTCATGTATGGTATATATACACTCCAGATAAGTACAACATTTTTATGTAGATGATGGAATGTGGATAGAATGAGATAAAGAGAAATCATGTTTTTTCATTCTAATAAATACTTACATAAGGTAATTCTAGGTTAAAATGGTGTGCAAATGCTGATAATGCATAGAAAGTGTGTCACAGATCATGTTAACTTACATGTGTGGTGAAGTTAAGCATTGGTTTGAGAACTGTGGGATAGTTGTAAAATTCACTGTAGTAAACTTTATCAATAACATATATGCTGGAAGTCTGGTTCTGTGAAATACCTAAGGAAACAGAGCATGCAATATATTAAAATTATTATTCCTATTTTTCATGCAGGTACAATGCTAGTCAATTATTATCACATGTAGTAAGAGCAATTCCAGCCAACAGTCAGTAACTCTTTATAAATGTATTTTCATTTCAACTGCAATTCTAACACAAATTGAAAAGATCAGCCCATCCTAAAGTGTAGCAGATGGTGCAGGGCTGAGCCCCACATCAACTTCATATACTTATCCACTTACACGCTTTGGGCAAACGTTTTTAGTAGTAGCTGGCTATAAGAATAAAAATTCTCTATAAATTAGGCTTCAATCTCTTTTTTAAAAACACAACTTTGGCCATGCAAGTTCATAAGATGCCAAATTCTAGAACATAATAACAGCAGATAGAACACATGGTATTTTAGTATTATTAGTGCTTAGTATTAGTTAATCATCAAGCACCTAATATGGGAAAGCAAAGCAATCCCATGGATGATATACTCAAACGTTTTCAACTGTATGCAGTGACTTCTGAACCACTGACCTGTCCTCTTTTATGGTTTACCTCATGAGAAGACTCAAAATAGTTTGTTTTCTGCAGAATCTGAGGACTTAGCTGAACAAGCGTGTACAGTCACATGCATCTGCCTTTTTTCTTTTTTTTTTCTTTTTTTTCATTTAAAACAGTGCTTAAAGTAAACCTGCCATGCTAGAATAATGGGAGTTGCCTTGGCTGGCCTATATTTTTTGAGGTTGCTAGCTCCTTGGTTGTCATTCTCATTCTATAGTTTTACAGCTTACTACTGAGTAAATCATGGGCTTTGTGCTTGTTTCAGGCTAGTAAGTAAAAACTGAAGTCATAGATCAATGAGATCTAGGAAAATAACATCTTTCATGTGGGAAGCAATGGCAGCAATGGCTCATTTTTTTTTTTATTTTGCTTTAATTTTGAAGGGATAGTTGTTAATTGCTTGAGGTTTATTGTGATAAGCACAAAAACATGTATTTCATCATTTAGAAAAAATGCAGCTTAAGTTAAGATATAAAGAGAATCTGTCCTAAAAAAAAACAAATACATAAAAATCCTGCTGGTATAAAGTGCAAGTATCTATAGGCAACAGCCTCTAATACCTGCTTTTAAAGCAGATTTCAGGCCATTCGGACAGACAAAGCTATTGCATATCCCAATGCCAAAGCTTGTCTGCTCCTTCCTGCCTACTGCACTTTACTAATTGCCAGTGAGGCAGTCCATCATATTGATGAGCTTTAGGAATGTGAGGACCCAAACGTGCCTGAGCTTTGCCTTTCAGATTGGCCTGACATTCATCTAAAAAAAAAATGGGTACTAAAAGTGTCTGAACTTTATACCTACAGCTCTTTTTTTTAATGTGGCATGTTATTATTTAAAAACATTTTTTTCTTCTAAACTAGAAAGTATATTCAAAGAAACCTTTCATATTATAATGAAAGATTGACCTTAAAGAAGTAACAAACCCCAAAACAAACATTTATTATATTGTAGCTTAGCTTAGTTGTCATTGCTGTTTTGTTTTAATTTTTTAGGCTCTCTTTAGTAACTTTGGTTATAATTTGTTACAAAGTAACTTTGGTTATGATTTGAAAAGTATCTTTAGTCAAATGTGCTGATATTATTTTGATCTGGCATTTCATATAAATAATGTTTTCACTGATTGTGAAGTGCAGGCTTTTTTTTACAGCAGTGAGAATCTGAAGTATATAAACTGACTTTAAATATTTTTAGGGTGCCTATATTTATTTAATACATATTTATCATATGGATCAAAAGCCAAACAATCTTACAAGTTTTTTTTTTTAACTGACAAATTAAGAAAAAATAAGAATCATTCACATAACTTCCCTGCTGTTTCCTTTATAAGAATTTAAATTGCATTCCAAATACTGAATGTGGCAAAAGAGTAAGGAAAAGTTATGCTCTGTGATTTATGCCAAACTTTGGGATGAGCTGCTCTGTTATGAAATTACTAGTTAAATAACTCTCTATGACTAAATTAAAATGAGAAGTATGTGACTCATCCAAGTATATGTGTCAAAGGAACACATTTTGCTTTCTCCCTAAATATGCAGTAACTTAATAGGGAAATATCAGGTCACTGTTCTAAGTAAATACTTGGCTACTGACTATTTTGACAAGATGTTAAAGGATGAAATTCTAGCATTCTAGTAGCAGCAAAAATAAAATATACCATATATGCCATTTTTCCTAGGTGATAAATACTAGTTAACTGAAGGACAGGCCGAGTATTAGAAAAGTCTATAACATTCTTGCCTTTATTGTTTCCAGTTGAGTTATTTAAAACCTAGGGCCTAAGCAATAGGCTGGGTACATACTATAACATTCACTTTTCCAAAAATGACCATCACAACTATATATCTTTCTAGTCATACATTCAAATCTTGTGTATTCCACTACTAGGGG